TTTCTTTGGGGTTTGCCCTTTTGCAAAGTTGGTTTTTTGGCTCAGTGTTTGGTCAGAGGATGGGCTTAAGCCCCTGATGCCAGGGAACTCTAACCTGGGTTGATGGGTTTGTGTGTAGTTTGGGAATGTTTTTGAATCTGCCCCTGTCTTTCTCTGATTGTGTGGTAGCTTAGTGCCTCCAAAATCATCTGAAATCAGGAAGGTTCTTTTTGGCTGTAGCTCTCTCTGATTATCTTTATTACCCTTCTGGCTGCTCTGCTGTTTCACTTGCATCAGAGCTACCAACCTCCTCTTAATTGTTGTACACCAAGTTCTTCGTTATTTTCTATAACACCTTTGGGTATGAAGTTCTCAGCCATGTTTAAAATAATCAATTCCCTCAGTCAAATCTGCAGAGCTCTTTGTCCTTCGGACCTATCTTTGTTTCTGGGTAGAATCACTGTCCCTCGGAATTGGAGGTAGGAGGAATGACATCTCTCTTCTACAAGTGGGCACGGGAGGAGGTGGCAGCTCCTGGTGGTGTAACTGATTTCTCAGCTTGACCTTTCTCAGCATGGAACCTTCACTCTCTGAGCCAGCTGGGATGGGAGTGATTGGCACCTCAGTATTCTCAGCCTCCAGAGCCTCCAAGGGGATGGAGGTTGGTAGGGAAGAAAGAGACCTGGCTCTCTCTGCTGAGCCTACCTGGAATACAACTTCTGCACAGGGATAAGAAACATCAGCAGCCTGGGCCTCCCAGAATGAAACCACAGCCCCAAATGAAGACTGGAGAAAGACAGTCCCCTTCTTCTTGGCCACATATGCCCTGGAGCTTCTCCAGAATGGAGCTGGGGTGGGGCAGGGGAGTAATGGAGTGGACCATGGCTCAAATGGCACAGGTTCTTGCTGTTCTAATATTCAGTTTTCAATATTTTTCTCTTCATTTGCCATATGCTCTTAGGACAACTTATGGAGACTTAAAATGATTTTTTAAAAAACACCTTTACCAGTTAACTTTTTGTTTTGCTGAAGAAAGTACCCACTAAGTTTCATTCTGGAAATCCCACCTCGCTTCTGCTGCATCTTCAATCTACCCTAGTATTTTCTACCTGCCTTATAATTAATTAGTTTTGGTAGTGAAGAAACATGGAAAAAAGCATTCTTAAAATGTTGTATTATTGTTTCCCTTTGTATCCATACACATGACAATACAGTATAACTGCCTTGCCCGTATGAATGACTTAGTTGGAATATTTGTAATTCTTTCTACCGGATGAGTCTGGAACAGTGGCTGGCACAGAGGAGGAAAAATAAAAACTCCTGAGGAAATATTCACAGAATATTTTGCTTTTGCTAAAAATATGGCAGCTAAATAAGAATAATATGAATGCAGCAGATTATGTACAAAATTAACATGAGATACTCTTGTCCACTCCTTTCCCCCAAAGAGTTTACATTTAAGATATAATTGGGAAGAAAAAATAAAAAGCATCTTATCT